GAAAGAGTGCAGGCCCTTTATTCACATCTGTGTAACATCTGCGGGTGGACAGGAGAGCCAATGGTAGGGGTTATGTGACCTGGACTTGGTCCTGGACTGTAGCCTGCAGATCAGTTTGGACTCACACATCCTGGGAATGACATATAAACCTTTTGCTATACAATCTGGGTTGCTTTCTCTCCAATGAAGTCCTTTGTGGCTGGATTTTTCCAAATTTAAAATCCAAAGAGCTGGATAGCTTTCCTTTTACTGCTTTGGAAATATAGTTTATCTGCACATTGGACATTGAAGCCTTTTCTGAAACTTGGCTCTCACTTGTTCTTTAAGCGCCTGGGTTTGGGAGAGACATTAGCTGCCAGAAATACAGATTCCCTACTGCGTGGTTTTCTGAGGATTTTCTGACAGCCCCTCAAGGCAGGGTTTGTCAAAGTGAACTGATTGGGGGCTGTGTCAATTGCTTAGGACAGTTTGTGGGTTTGTGGAGTGGTCCAAAGTGCTTAATGAGGTATAAACTTCAGTGTCTACAGCTCTGGAAGGTTTTGTTTTATTTTTAAGAGAGATTTTTGCTATAGGACATGTGCACTCTCCAGACAGACAGAGACAGAGAAACAGAAAGGAAGAAATCTTTCCCCAGAAGGGACGGCCACACCATAATTCTTTCTCCTCCATTCTCCTCTTAGGATTCTAGGTATGTACACACATGACCCCAGCATGAGTTTCCAGCCTCTGGGTCTGGGACTCGAACAGCAGTTGACCATGTGGGAGTTTAAGAACGTAATCACTATACCATCTGCTGGTCCTGACAGCTCTGGAATGTTATATGATCGCATAAAATTTGAAGAAGACAATTTAACTGCAAACTAGTTAAGCTTTTTATTTATTTGTTTATTTTTGTATAGCATGTGCACTTGCCAGAGAGAAAGAGAGAGTGAAAGAGAAAGACAAAGGGAAAGTGAGAAATCACCTCCCAGAAGGGATAGCCATGCCGCAGTCCCTTCTCCATTCTCCTCTTGGGATTTTAAGCATGCACGCACATATGCCTGGTATGTTTTTCAAGCTGCTGTATCCAGAACTCCAACCGTGAAGCTTGCTATGTGGGATCCTGTGCCTTAACCTCCATGCCACCTGCTGGCCCTAGTTAAGCTTTTTGAACTGGTTTTCAAGCAGGCTCCCTAAATTGTCCATACATTGGGTCTGCCTCGGGCAGACAGATTTATAGATCATAGAAACTGAAGCTGCAGAGTCAAGTTTTGCATTATCTGCAGCAAAAAGATGGTTAGCAGCTGTGCATGTGTTTATGTGTGTGTGTGTGTGTGTGTGAGAGAGAGAGAGAGAGAGAGAGAGAGAGAGAGAGAGGCTTTATGCCTGTAATTTAATATATGTGTATGCATGTATGTATGTATATTTGTCTGAAGTGTTATGAGTGTGTATGGTATTCATATTTCAGACATTTACTACATAGACTAGAAATATAGCAAAATTTTGGAGCATAACAGTTTTAGGAACAAAAAGGAAAGAAACCAAGAAAAAGAGAAGGAAAGAAGAGGTTATAGGAGGGAAGGAAAAGGAAAGAAATAAGTAAGGATCTTTGAAGGTGATATTTGCAGTTTCAAAAAGATTTTTGTCTTTATATCACTAAAGTTTACTATAACCGTGGAAGATTAATTGTTGAATAAGTGAAACAATAATTATTTTTCCAAGTAGTAGATTCTCCAATATACTTTTTAACCATTCAAAAATTTTCACTTATGACTGTCTGATATTTTAAGTCATATTTTAAAATTAAAGTACTTAAAGAGCTTGCACAGTCTAGGATGCTTTAATTTTCAGTGTGACAAGTTATTATCTATTCCTAATGAATTTGTATGACACTTTCTAATGACATCTGTTTTAGTCCTGTCTACAGCAGATTGTTGACATGATTATTTGTAAAGTTTCTTAAAATCTGTGATGACAGAGATTAAAATATGAGTTGTTTTATTGAATTATTTTGGATGCTATTTTGACTTGTATCCTTATTCACACAAAGGTTTTTTTTTTCCTTTTTTCTTTATTTTTTAGTTATTATTTATACATTAAATCGCTATGCATCATTAGACATGGTGGAACAAAGCTATAGATTGCAGACAATGTCAAATGACTGGTGTTTTTAATCGGTGCTTTTAGCTACCAAGGAAATTAAGTATTTAAACAGTTCTCATATTTTAGTAAATGCATGCCCAAGCATCTTATTTGGGCACAAAAGCAGTTTGCATAATATGGGAAATATGACACTTACAAGCAAACATCTATTGTAGGAAAAGGATCTGTCTCTGGGCATCCCAGGAACACCATATTGGCTTTCCTGCAAAGCAAAAAATATTCATAGCTTCCTTCCCTCCTTTCTTCCTTTCTTTATATTTTTAAAAATTTTTTCAAGAATTCTCATAAGGGGGGACCAGCAGTTAGCGTAATGGCTATGTTGCTGGACTCCCATGTAGTTAACCGCGGTTCATATCCCGGATCCGGTGGCTTAAAACTCATGCCGGGCGCGTGCATGTGTGCCCAAGATCCTGAGAGAGAATGGAGGAGAAGGGACTGAGGCGTGGCCATCCCCCCTGGGGGGTGATTTCTCGCTTTCTGTCTCTCTGTCTCTCTCTTTCTGTCTGGCGAGCACATGTGCCCTATAACAAAAACCTCTAAAAAAAAAAAAAAAGAAAAAAAAAGAATTCTCATAAGGGGATAGCAAATGGCATAACTGCTACATTGCTGGACTCCCACATGGTCGACTTTGGTTCAAATCCCAGACCCAACAGCTTGAAACTCATGCCAGGCACGTGTGCATGTGTGCCCAAAATCCCAAGAGGAGACAGGAGGAGAAGTAATTGCGGTGTGGCCATCCCCCGTGTGTGTGTGCGTGTTTGTGTGTGTGTGTGTGTGTGCGTGATTTCTTGCTTTCTGTCTCTCTGGCTCTCTGTGTGTATCTGGTTAGCACATGCACCCTATAGCAAAAATCTGTCTTAAAAAAATAAAAAAGAATTCTCATAAGAAACTTCTTTCGGACTTTTTCCTTTCCTTTTTGTTGAAGTCCATTTTATTCATGATTTGTGTGCGTTGTATGTATGCACAAGAGACAGAGGAAGAGGGGCACCCTTAATACGGCCTCATTACACCTCAATTCCCTTTCCGTGCTCCTCCAGCTCATCAAGATCCTGGGCACACAAACTTAGACCCAGCATGTTTTCAAGCCTATGGGGAAACAAAACTGCAGTTGGTCAAGTGGCTTCCAGTATTGCAGTTCAGTTTGCAACCAACATTTTTTTTTTTTTGGATAAATTATGAAATTTATTTATATCTCCTTTTAAAAAAGCAGAACATAACAAATTTCTTTCTGGACAGACACCTTACTAGAAATATATGAAGTACACTTAATACAGGAAGGAAATTTCTTGGTACTACTTGGAAGATGGACACACCTTTGTCAGTTTCCTTCGATTTTCAAATTTCCCTTCAGAATTTGACTTCTTGAGATAATCTCAAATCCAGGAAGTTCTCAGTAAACTTTCTTTCAGGAATTCCTCTCTCCCTTCCTCCCTTGCTTCCTTTCTTCTCTTCCCTTCCTTTACCTTTTTCCCCCCTGTTCTTTCCTCCTTCTTTTCTTCCCTCCCTCCCTCTCTCCTTTTTATCTTCCCTTCTTTCTTCCTTTCAGAAGCAATTAATTTATTTCAGTAAAATTTACACTTCAAAAACTTACAGAAGAACCTGAATAGATTAAACATCTACCAAAAACTTTGCTATGCATTATGAATATCTTTGAAACTGAATAATGTGCCATTATTAATGATTGCATATGGGGATAAATACAACTTTTATTCTCTAAATGAAATCCATTATATCGCTCTGTGGCAAGTTATGCAATAGATTTCAGCTTGACAAATATCCTTCGGTAGGCTGCAAATTTTCTGATGTTATCCAATAATGAATGAAGGTAGGATTCTTCAGAGCACAGTTTTCATAACTTTCAAAAGCAAAAGCAAAGAGTGGAGCTAAGAAATCAACAAGAAACAGAATCTTAAAAAGGCTAAATAATGATCCAATCACTAAAACAAATGATGTTTCCTCAGATGAACCGCACGGCCCTGCATTTTGCAGTGGGGAGAAGTCATTTATCAGCGGTGGAATTCTTGCTTAACCACAAGGCCAGGGTGGATGTGGCTGATAAGGTGAGCTGACCTTCATGTGCTAGACTGGCAGCATATCCAGTGTTCAAGGAGAATCTGATCCCTCAGATTTCTTTTCTTCACATACGTACAAAATACTTTCATTGGCAAGGTCTCTTTAGAGAATACGCATATAATGTACTTTTTGTATTTGGTGACTAAATTGTTTACCTGTAGGACTTGGTTTTTATTTATTTTCCCTCTGGTTTTCCAGAGGATAATCTGGGACGTGGAAGAGAGGAGCTAATTGATCCTAGGGACATTATCTCTCTTTTTTTTTTTTTTTGGAGAGGTTTTTGCTATAGGGCGCGTGTGCTCACTAGAAAGACAGAGAGAGACAGAGAGACAGACTGCGAGAAATCACCCCCCAGGAGGGATGGCCACACCGCAATCTCTTCTCCTCCATTCTCCTCTTGGGATCTCAGGCATGCATGTACACACACCTGGCGTGAGTTTAAGCCACTGAGTCCAGAACTTGAACCACAGTCGACTATATGGGAGTCCAGCGACATAGCCATTATGCCAAGTACTGGTCCCGGAACATTAACTCTTAACTTTGATAATAAATAAAACATATTCTATATACCAGGAAAAGTTTAATATTTAGTCTTTCCCAAGCTTATGTTAAAAAGTATTATCATAATGTTCAATTTACAGATAAGGATTTTAAAATACAAAGAATGACATCTAAGAAGGGGTGAAGACAGGCTTTGAACTTAGCTTGTCTGATTCTAGACACCATGGTATTAGCTAGAAGTCAACTTACTTATTTGTCTGCCTGGATATCAAAACTACCCTAAGGATTTTTCACCTACTCTCCCTATGTTTATTTTTATTTATTTGTTTTAAAATTTATTTATTTATTCCTTTCATGATAAGAGAGAGGGAAGAGGGGCCAGTCAGTAGTGTGGTGGTTAAAGTGGCTAGATCCCACATGGCAGCTGTGTGGTTCCATTCGTAGACCTGGTGGCTTGAAAAACGCACCAGATATGTGTGCACACATGACTGATCCCAAGAGGAGAATGGAGAAGGGATTGCAGTGTGGCCACCCACCTCAGGGAATGATTTCTCTTTCTCTTTCTCTCCAGTAAGATAGAAAATTGAAGAGGGAGAGAGAGGAGACAGCACTCCCAACAGAGTGCTTGATGCCATAATCCACTGCCAGCCTCAGTCAGCCCCAGATTATGCGCAAGTGTGTGCCCATGTACTCAGAGCAGTGTCTGGACTTGAACCATGTGGGAACCTTCCCATGTGGGATTACCTCTCAGAGTACCATGTTTTCCAACTGCACTGCTTTTTCTCCCTCTCCACCTTATTTAATACCTTACCATGATGCGAGGAGACAAGCTAGAGAGACGCAACACCGTGTTTATCACCTCCAGTTGCAGAAGAAAATAGTCTTGCTCTAAAATTCTTGATTCTTAATTAATCCAATAAATCATGCTTCTTAAACTGTTCAGAAAATTCCCACAGAGTTATTATTATTATTTTTTTCCCGGACCAGGACTCCTGGAGGGTAAGCTTTGGCTTCACATCGTACCTCCAACTTGCTTTACCTTCACCTGTCTCAGGGTTTGAGTTTCCTGTGTGCTCAGGAAATGTTTTGAAGATGAATGAATGAAGTCAGCTTACACCAGCTGGTCATCGTATTAGTTTTGACAGCAATTACAGATAAAGCTAGACTTGATAAAGATGAGAGTTTCTCTGTGTTGCAGTGGGACACATCCCTCTCTAGTTTATTACTCTGGTTTTTGTGGGCAACTAGATTGTTCTATAACAATATCAGAATTAAAAAGTGGCACTGAAAGCACTCTAACTTTGTGAGTGTAATTATTGGTATTAATGGCTATGGTAATTAAGGAACACATCTTTTAGGTCTGGAGATTGTCATTTGATTATTTTGTAAGACACATAGGTAATAGACTAGATTAGCCAAATATATTCTTATCTTAACATTAAAAACCTGATATAGTATGTTTAATTTAATTTTTAAATTAAGATACTGTACAATTAACTTTCTCATTGGTGCACAGTGTGAGTCTTATCTCTGGAAAGCACCACAAGTGTGTCTCCCAGGAGAAGATAATTGATTTCACCTGAGACCAGACTGGTACGAGAATAGGTTGTCAGCCACCTCACACAGCACCGTGAGCCAACTGTCGGTGTAATCTGTGACACATACTTTCTGTCTTGATCATGCCAATTTCATATCAGGAGACTATTTTATGAAGCTTCTGGAGGAATTTACATCTGCAAGCAGTGATTCATTGCCTCTGAGGAGCCATGCTCTGAATTTGTGTTTTCAGAGGTTTAAGTTGTTTGCAGCTTGAATTCCTAGCTTTTTGATTTTATGATCAGTGCTTGGAGTTTTTGGCTTTTAGAATTATTTATCAAATTTTATTTATTATTATTATTATTTTTAAAATTTACTATGGGGAACATGTGCTCACCAGAGAAAGACAGAAAGAGAGAGAGAGAATGAGGAAGTGAGAAATCAAGCCATCAAGTCCAGGACTCAAACTGTGGTCGGCTATGTGGGAGTTCAGTGCCTCAAGCACCATGCCACCTTCTAGCCGTGAGTTCTTGGAATTTTTAAATGTTGGCTTCTTTGAAATCAGGAATACCTTTTTGGGAAAAATAGAGCCTCTTTCAAAATGTGATTTATCACCTGTCTTAAATATTTATGGTCTCTTTTATGACCATATGTGAAATGAGATTTGGAACTACTGAATATAGAGCACTGATTTGTAGGGAAGCCTGAATTAAGAAGTGGAATTGTGTTTAGGGCACAGCTTTTACAGAACCTCAACTATTTGGTTGTCGGGAAGGTCATGATGCATTTTTGCATTAAAAAAAAAAAAAAAAAACAGGAAAATATGTCATGACTTTCCTGACGACCTAATAGTCACTGCATATCATGTTCCTTGGGGAAAAGAATACAAAAGTTAAGAATTTTCTTCATGCTGGAATGTAAATATGTAAGTGGACTAAGGCAACCATGCAGCGTGACAACTGAAATGGAAATTTGATGGAGAATGTACATTTAGAGCAGGGTTTCTCGACAGCCATACTACTGATACTTGGGGCCAGATTGTTCTTTATGGTAAGGTGGCCTTGTGCACTGTAGGGTGTTTAGCAACATCCTTGGCTTTCACCTACTAAGTGCCAGTATCACTACCCCCCGGCCCCAGTCATGACAATCACAAATGTGTCCAGACATTTCCAAATGTGTCCTGGGGACAAAATTGCCCCCCAGTTGAGAACCACCGATTCAGGGTTAACACTTAGCAATTCAGGACTTGTATTTCATTCCCAGTCTGAACTCTGCTGAGAGTTAGAGAACACATGAATGCAATTTCTGGGGCAGCCAAAATAAATGCCAAACGGCTTCTGCTGTTTACAAATGGAAGTGCCCTGCCGACCCTCATTCCTTGTTTACTTATTCATACTGTGTTCATCTAGAAACTGGTTTTCTGGATTACTAACAGCCAGCTAGGAGAAGGCAGATACGTGGCAAGAGTGCTCACTTTTGGCAGGCCTCTATACAGATGCAATGGATTCCTTTTTGACAGGAATAAAGGAAGCAGAAAAAGGAGAGCCATGAACTTCCAGATAAGGAATTTGAAGCTGAGAGTTAAGTTGACAAGATCACAATGCTTGAAAAAGTGGTAGAAAGTGACTGGAATTTGTGGTCGGTAGTGTTTGACCTTAGTGATGCTCACGATGTCTGCACTATTTACTTCTCTAACTAGGGGCCTGAGGGGCAGATCCGTGTTCCCAATTTAACTTCCCTTCAATCCCACCTTCTTCCTGAAGTAGCAAATGAACTGCTTGCTATGTTTCCTTCCACGCTTTTCTTTCTGCTATTCGATATACAGTTCAGCGTACAACCTCCCACAGTTTCCCCGCAGGTCAGTAAGTCCTGATCTGAATCTTTCTTTCAGTCTGCCTACTTTATGCACACATGCGTGCACACACACACATACACACCTATGTAATTTTGTATCAATGGAAGCTCTTAATAACCTTCTATATAAATGAGATCCTTTATTTAATTTATCTTTTCAGTTTTTCTTTGCATACCCTTCCTTCCTTCAGTAACTACACTGAACAAGATGAAATAAATGTGTTTATTTCTGTACTTTTCTCCATGCTCATGTAATCCCATTTAATTGAATCTACCCACTTACCTGTGTACCAACCGATCTATAGTTAGATATAGATACATACA